AAAAAGTAACGCAAAAGTAACGTAATGCATTACTTTCAATAAAAAGTAACTAAGTAACGTAATTAGTTACTTTTTTAGGAAGTAACGCAATATTGTAATGCATTACTTTTAAAAGTAACTTTCCCCAACACTGTATATATATATATAATTATTATTATTATTATTATTATTATTGAACAAATATCATAAATTATTAATTCATAAATGTTACTTTTTAATAACTAAACTGAACTAAACTCAAATAATCTGCTCTTTTAAAGATATTTATTGAGTTATTGTCTTTGTGATATAAGTTTTGTGATATTGATTAGATTTTAAATGGTTTAATTCATCTCTTAAAATGATATTTTAGGATACCTACTGACTATATATATATATATATACTGTATATAAAAAATTGCTATGAATATTACATTTAATAATATAATATAATCACATTTTACATTTCACTTGTTGTAACATGGTTCTATATATTGGTTAACTGGTTTAATTCATCTCCATATTTAATTTCAATTAAAATTTGATTAAAATATCGATAAACAAATGATCTGATATTTTAAGATACTTATTGACTCTGTGATACATTTTCTGTGATTTCTGTGATATATATATATATATATGAATAATATTTCAAAATACATATTTCAATACATCACATCATTGACCCATTGATTACTGTCATTTCCAGGCCCCCAAAACGATCCAAAGCCAGCCCAGGAGTTTATTCTTAAGATGTACCAGGAGCAAAACGAAGACAAAGACAAATCCATCTACTCTCACTTCACTTGTGCCACCGACACGGAGAACATCCGCTTGATCTTCGCAGCTGTGAAAGACACCATCCTCAGACACAACCTCAAAGAGTTCAACCTGGTTTAAAATCAACATCCCGGAGGACACACCTGGTCCTGCTCTCTTCTGTTGATCTGTTGAGTAGATTTAGCTCTCACATTAGCTTAACATTGTTCTATTGTTGACTAAGGACTTATATAAGGAAGTATCTAGGAGAACTGCCTAATGGATTAGATGTGGACTGGCTTCCTGAAAACAAGCCTTGATCTACCATTACAAGGATGAATCTTCTTTTCAGTCGTGTTTAGGTCCTCTAATAGATGGGTAGGTTTCATCGACAACAGATGTTGCCATTTTGTTCTTTATGTGAGTAGAGTTTACAAGGGAGGCTACTTAGGAGATTTTAAGGCACATGTAAAAAATGTTTTCCTGATGTAATATAGATCAAAGTCTTGAAGACTCCTTGAAGCGTTTAAAGGCAAAAAAGATGGAGAAGTTTACATTTTAATATAAAAACTTGGATTTTTTTGTTTTTTTTTAACAAACATGCTCTAAAGTTGCCTTATGTAGTTGTAACGCAAACCTGAATCATGATTATGCATTTGTAGAAATTAAAGGTATGAATTTAATTCAGATATTTTTTATTTTATTATTATTTCTCAATGTAAAAATGATTTACTAGCCATTTTAAACTGGTGTTTCAGTGTCAAATTGTACATTGTAAAGGATATCTATCATTTTAAACATGCATTTTCCTTAAAAAAAAATCTTGATTTCTCACAGAAAATTCAGTCACGGGGCAAATTCAGAACATTTTCGCATTTTACGCAGCCATTGATTTCCGCGTTTCATTATTTGACCTCAGTTTCGTAGCAGGTACAAGCTGTAGTGAATACCTGAAGTGCCTTTAAACTGTAATGTCTGTATCTGCTTTGATAATATTTATTAAACGAGGATATACAGCTATATGTTGTTACTCATTCAAATTTAAATAAAACAATCAAACGAAATTCAAAATACATTTATTAAATGTGCATGATTAGAGATGACAAGAAAATGATGCAATAAATGTTCATGCTTTATAGTCAACATGTAATGACATTCCCAGTTCTCAGTTTTACCTCACTAACATGATGCATTTCCAATTGAAAATAACTATATGATAAAACTGTAGAATGAGAGTATGCAGTTGCATGTGGAAAAAAATGCACATTTAGTCATATTTATTCGATAACTGGGAACTTGATGTTAGATGTATCGCTATTTGCTTTTATTGCTATAACCTTTATTAATGTTAAAGAAGTTCACACAAAATTGGAATTTTGCTGAAAAAGTGCTCATCCTCAGGCAATCCAAGATGTAGATGAGTTTCCTCATCAGAACAGATTTGGAGAAATGTAGCATTCCATCACTTGCTCGGCAATGGATGCTCTGCAGTGAATGGGTGCCGTCAGAATGAGAGTCCTAACAGCTGATAAAAACATCACAATAATCCACACCACTCCAGTCTTTTGAAGTGAAAAGATGCGTGTTTGTAAGAAACAAATCCATCATTAACACATTTTTAACTTCAAACTAGTCCATAATCCATAATATTGCTTTCTCCAGTGAAAAAGTAATCTCGTCTGAATCAGGAGAGAAATATGCACAGATCCAGCACTGATTACAAGCCAAAACAGTTCTGAACAAATATGTCAGTTTTGATGTTTGAGGACAACAGGGATGGACTTTTTCACCGGAGGAAACATTATGGATTATAGACTAATATTTTGGTGACGGTTTAAAAGTTAAAACGCCTAAATGATGGATTTGTTTCTTACAAACACCCAGCTTTTCACTTCACAAGATGTTAATTGATGGACTGGAGTGACGTGGATTACTGTGATGTTTTTATCAGCTGTCTGGACTCTCATTCTGACGGCACCCATTCACTGCAAAGGCTGAGCCATTGCTGAGCAAGCAGATAGTATGCTTAATTTCTACAAATCTGCTCCCATGAAGTAACAAACATCTACATCTATTTTATTGGTTTGCATCATTCACAGGTCGCCCAAGGCATCCTGACATCAGGATCAATAAATAGTGTCAGTTTTGATTTCATATCGACTTTAATGTCAATTCATTGACATTCATTAAGAAAATGGACAACAATAGCTGTACTGGAAAGCTAAAAATAAACAGTTGCATATTTGTGTTATGTTACAGTTCTTCAGCAATGCAGTGCGGCTGCATAGAGACATAAAGCAGTCGAGAAGCCATCGAATGTTTACTGTTGAGTATTGAGACAAGCTGAATTAAACAGACACTGTGAAACAAAAATATCATTTCATGCAAAGCCACATATTTAAAAAAAAAAATCCCTGCTCTCCTGTGCATACAGCAAGAGATTCCCATTTTCAAACATTCCTGGTCATTTCTGTTTAAATGCGACACACATTCACATGTAAAGACAAAGAAAATACATACAGTGTATTGGTCTTTATTAATGTGTATAAAATGTACCTTAATTTTAATCACCTTCATTTACACTTTAGTGTGGCTTTAGTTAAGAGACGTCTTTCCAGTCGCTGAACTGCATGTCGAGGCACATTGTAAAAACGTAATATGTAAATGTGTTCAAGCAAATAAGGAATTATGACAGATTGAGCTCAGACAGTGAGGGGGAAAGAAAGGTACAATATAATGTAAACTGAACACACAAACACACAGTCTAACAGTCATTACCAATGTGGTATTCAGTGTTTAGTGAATGACTGTTGCATTGTGGGTATAATGTGAAGTGGCACACTGCAAAAGCAGCATAAAGGCACACAGCTGAGCGCAGGATCATCGCATGTCGCTTTAACTGTCCTTACTTCGGCAGAGTTTCCCTGGCATCCTCAAGCTTGGCAAGAACCCACTGAGAGTGACAGAAACAGGTCATTAAATTAATGCATGGCTAGAAACCTTTACAGGATATTTTATCTACAGAAATCATATATGTGGTAAACAAATCTTTTGTGATAAAATATGGCTCTTAAACTCTTGTGTACCGAGTCTTTCAAAGGTATGGTTCACCCAAAAATGCTAATTCTGTCATCATTTCCTTAACCTTCAAGTTGTTCCAAACCTGTACGAGTTTCTATCTTCTTCTGAACGCAAAAGAATATATTTTGGAGAATGTTAGTAACCAAACAGTTGTTGGTCCCCATTGACTTCAATAGTATTTTATTTACATACTATGGAAGTCAATGGGGACCAGCAATTTTTTGGTTACTAACATGCTTCAAAATGTATTCTTTTGCGTTCAGAAGAAAGAAAGAAACTCATACAGGTTTGGAACAACTTGAAGGTTAAGGAATTTGGCATTTTTGGGTGAACTATCCCTTTGAAATCCCCTTTCTGTGCATAAATGACAATTTCTGCCCAAACACTCATTGTGCTCCTTGTTACAAAAGGTTAAGATAACAGTTCATGAACCCACTTCCACTATTTGTTTACAGCAGCAAAAATGTGCACCTGTACCTTTGCTAGTTCTGGAGTTTTGAAATTGATGATCTTCCCAAACTCTTTGGCATGAAACACCGACTTGACTCGTTCCTGTGAAAATCAAAACAAGATCAATGATATTTTCCATCATAATTAAAGAAATCCTTGCTCAGGTTTAAACATGTCAGGCCATGATATTATTCGTTTTAGTATTTCGTATTTTTTAATGCTTTGTCCTCATGGCTTTGCTTACATCATTAGAAAATAAAAGTCCTTTCAGAAGTGGAGAAACTTAATCAAGTTTTAGGGTTTGTACCTAGTTATTATAATGTAAGTACATACTATATACATGTACAACAGGACTATAAAATAAAGTGCTAAACATAAACATTTAGAATAACATGCACAATAAGACCAGCATTCGATTTAGATTAAATACAGATAAAACTCTGTTATGTATGATGATGTACCTTTGCTTCTATACGCAGTCTCCTGCCCTCCACGATCATGGGCGCTTTGGTAAACTCGTCAAACAGATACTGCCACTCGCACGTCAGCTGCCCGAACGTGCCCCTAGTCACAAAAAATATCCCCCTGCAAGAGCAAAATCACACAGACACCAGCTGAAAATTCAATAAAAAGGCCAGTAAATACTGTAGCACATAACTTGAATAACTAGGATAGAATACTGTAGCACATATATAACCAATTACATATACACACACATATATACAGTATATCAAAACATTCATTAACTTTGAAATTTGAAGTTTTACACATATATATCCTGTAGAATTTCTCTGCTCCTGCTCGAAACTGTTCAGCCAGCGTGTAATTATTTCAACTTAAATCATTTAAACTATTAACATCTCCTTCATATCTGAAGATACAATTTCAAACCGTTGGTCTATTTGGTTCCTGTTGTGTTTTGGATGCTGGGTTGTGATGGTACTTATCTAGTTTAACCTGCAAGACTTCCTTGGTCAACCAGTTCATCAGAAAGACTGGTCAGGTTGACCAGCTTTACCAGCTATGGTTTGCTGGCCTACAATCTAGACTAACATAAAACCAGCATAAACCAGCCTGGACAAGCATGAAGATTCATGTTGGTCTAAACTGGTTGTTTAATGACAACAGTGAGTGTTTAAGATAATGGCATAGAATTCTGGAGCAAGAAACAACTGCAAGTAAATCAGAAATATGTGTATAATATATAGTGTGTGTTATGTATATATGTATCTGGGTAGCTGACATGGATATATTACCAAGAATTCATTTTCATTCATAATTATTATTATTTTTTTATTACTTTTAATCAGCAACAATGCATTAAATTGATCAAAACTGTCAAAAGCGTATCATAGTTTCCACAAAAATATGAAGCAGCACAACGGTTTTCAACACTGATAATAACAATAATTTAAAAAAAGACAGCATATTAGAATGATTTCTGAAGGATCATGTGACACAGAAGACTGGAGAAATTATGCTGAAAATTCATTCAATTTGTATCAGGAATGCATGGCTAGAAACCTTTACAGGATATTTTATCTACAGAAATCATATATGTGGTAAACAAATCTTTTGTGATAAAATATGGCTCTTAAACTCTTGTGTACCGAGTCTTTCAAAGGTATGGTTCACCCAAAAATGCTAATTCTGTCATCATTTCCTTAACCTTCAAGTTGTTCCAAACCTGTACGAGTTTCTATCTTCTTCTGAACGCAAAAGAATATATTTTGGAGAATGTTAGTAACCAAACAGTTGTTGGTCCCCATTGACTTCAATAGTATTTTATTTACATACTATGGAAGTCAATGGGGACCAGCAATTTTTTGGTTACTAACATGCTTCAAAATGTATTCTTTTGCGTTCAGAAGAAAGAAAGAAACTCATACAGGTTTGGAACAACTTGAAGGTTAAGGAATTTGGCATTTTTGGGTGAACTATCCCTTTGAAATCCCCTTTCTGTGCATAAATGACAATTTCTGCCCAAACACTCATTGTGCTCCTTGTTACAAAAGGTTAAGATAACAGTTCATGAACCCACTTCCACTATTTGTTTACAGCAGCAAAAATGTGCACCTGTACCTTTGCTAGTTCTGGAGTTTTGAAATTGATGATCTTCCCAAACTCTTTGGCATGAAACACCGACTTGACTCGTTCCTGTGAAAATCAAAACAAGATCAATGATATTTTCCATCATAATTAAAGAAATCCTTGCTCAGGTTTAAACATGTCAGGCCATGATATTATTCGTTTTAGTATTTCGTATTTTTTAATGCTTTGTCCTCATGGCTTTGCTTACATCATTAGAAAATAAAAGTCCTTTCAGAAGTGGAGAAACTTAATCAAGTTTTAGGGTTTGTACCTAGTTATTATAATGTAAGTACATACTATATACATGTACAACAGGACTATAAAATAAAGTGCTAAACATAAACATTTAGAATAACATGCACAATAAGACCAGCATTCGATTTAGATTAAATACAGATAAAACTCTGTTATGTATGATGATGTACCTTTGCTTCTATACGCAGTCTCCTGCCCTCCACGATCATGGGCGCTTTGGTAAACTCGTCAAACAGATACTGCCACTCGCACGTCAGCTGCCCGAACGTGCCCCTAGTCACAAAAAATATCCCCCTGCAAGAGCAAAATCACACAGACACCAGCTGAAAATTCAATAAAAAGGCCAGTAAATACTGTAGCACATAACTTGAATAACTAGGATAGAATACTGTAGCACATATATAACCAATTACATGCGAAATGATGTAGTTCTTAGAAATTGCATGCATTTTTTTTTTTTTTGCTGCCTTATCACTGTTTGCTTAAGTAATCCTCAAAAAGACACACAATTTGGTGCAATATGGGAAAAAATGTCAAATTTCTGCCCCAAATTATTGTCTGAATGAGTCGACAGTGACACTAGCTGCCAAAAGTAAGTATCAAGTAGAGTATGATGGGCACAGATTTTCAGCTTCACCTTCAAACAAGTTTGATACTTTGATTCGATTTTAAAACACATTTTGTTTTCATTCGTCGCAACGAGGTGCACGTTGTCAAAAGCGTATCATAGTTTCCACAAAAATATGAAGCAGCACAACGGTTTTCAACACTGATAATAACAATAATTTAAAAAAAGACAGCATATTAGAATGATTTCTGAAGGATCATGTGACACAGAAGACTGGAGAAATTATGCTGAAAATTCATTCAATTTGTATCAGGAATAAATTATATCTTAAAATATTTTCAAATAGAAAACAGTTGTTTCAAACTGTAATAATATTTCACAATATTGCAGTTTTTACTCTATTTTTGATTATATAAATGCAGCTTTGGTGAGACTAATGACCCAAAACATTTAAACGGTAGTGTATATGCGTATTTTAAATTGTACTGTAGGAGACTGTTGTCACCGCTGAGGATGTCATGTCAACTACCCATTTCCATTGCCTATTATCATGCCCATTCCTATTATTTTTGTCTTTAAAACATTTTTAACACCATTATCTTGAACACCAGGGGTGTGACGGCAGGAAGTGAAGTGTCATGTGTCACCTGCAGCATCTGGCTGCCTATGCCCTCTCTCTCCTTATACGGCCGGATGACTCCATCCTCATGGATGAAACGAGGAGGACGTAAACTCTCCACATCCTGAGACGTCTCCGCAGCTCTGCATTCAGATCAATTTTGTTTTCATTCGTCGCAACGAGGTGCACGTTTCTGTGCGAGTCTGTTGTGTTCAGAACGACTTGAAAGTCTGTTAGACTATAATATATATAGTGTTTATTTTCTCTGTAACCATTTACATGCCTAGTGTTTTCAAATCTGTTCAGATTTTCGCAACGAGGTGCACGTTTCTGTGCGAGTCTGTTGTGTTCAGAACGACTTGAAAGTCTGTTACAGTTTATAACATAAGAGTATAATATATATAGTGTTTATTTTCTCTGTAACCATTTACATGATGCCTAGTGTTTTCAAATCTGTTCAGATTTAAAAAATCATGTAGTGTATTCCAGCCTTTAATAAGTTTAATATATGGGAATATGGTAAAGTTTTATGTGCCTAAACTGAATAATTGGGGGTAGGGATTTTTTTGAGATTCACACGTTTTTGTTGATTAAAATCATTTTCACTGAAAACTATGCTTACATGTAAATCAACATGTGTGCAAGCTATTTTTGAGTCCAATAATAGTTGCATTCAAAGGTTTACATAGCTAAAATATTAAGATATACACCAGCCCTTTAATCGGATGTTCACATGAAGGCTTTATAAGCAGATTGTAAGGATGCATGTAAACACAAATTCATCGCCTAAAAGGTTTGAAGCAAAACAGCCGTGACATGCTTAATGCTACTGTACTAGTGCATGGTTAAAACCGAAATGCCCCTTCATCTAAATGTGCTCATGTGACATTGCCCGTGCAAAATGAGGGGTTTATATAATTCACCTACCTTTTAGTGATCATCAGGAAATCGGATTCGTTCACCTTAGCATGAGCAAAGTATCTGTACTTGGCAAACCGTCCATTTTCAATATTCTACAAACCAAATGGAGAAACCAATTAATAAAAAAAACACGAACTTCTACGATCAAATCTTTTCTGGCCATCACATTCTTGAAATATGGACCTGAAAAACAGTGATGGAGTGAGTGTAAAGACACAAGGACTGATGAAAAGACCAACAGTGGCACCAAAATGTAAAAATCATCTACTCATCTTCATATACGTTGAACTAGTTTTGTGATTCTTAAAACCAATTAAAACCATTTTTAACTGTGCAAAAATTTAGTTCTAAAGCACTTTCACATCGCCTATAGTTCTGACTGGTGTATTTGAACGAGCTCTGGATGCAAGAATGCAAATTTCCAAAATTTCCCTAGGAAAAACACTAGTTTAATGCAAAACTTAAGCAAAGGTTTAGTCACGACGTTTTCTAAAGAGACTAAAGTCTCAGTACACACCCTTGCTGCTGCGTACCTTGTGTCTATAAATCAATGAAATGCGATGTCATTTGCAATGCATTGTGGGATTGATGGGTGTGGAATGGGTTAATGATGAAAAATGCACATGGAAACAGACTTTATTCAGGAAAATGACAGATGATGGGTTGGGACAACAAATCAGAAGGAATAAAGGCAAAATAATTCCTAATCATAAAACAGCAATATTTACATTTAAAATAGATTAACCACTCTATGACTAGACGCTAACTGAACTACTTACACATAGTAAATTATTCTGATTTTAGATGCAAGTTACACAAACAGACTGAAGATTTAATGAAAAGCACTTCTATTCTAGAATGAAAAGGACACATTTTCCTCATCCTCATCAGTGTCAGTGCTATTCATCTGAGAGAGGGCCGTTCTGCTCTGTGAACATGACAAGAGAGGAGAGCTGCAGTCAGTGAGAGCCGCACATTCACACGGCTGTGTGACGGCCTGTGCACTACTCCAGAAATACTAATACTACCAATACTAGTACATCTTACACTACTGAGCTAATGTCCGCAACTCCTGAAGTCACAAGCTACACAACACATCACAAAACCATGCGTTTGTTAGGTCAATGACTGGTGGGAATTACATAATTAGTAGTTTTACATAATGAATTACATAATAGTTCTTTGTGGACAACATACTGAATTGATCTGATTTTAATTTAATTCAAGTTAAATTAATATTTTATCGACCAAACCTTTGCCCACACCCTTAAAGAAACCCGCCGCTCCTTCCTTCTGAGCTCCTACAGCAACACACACACTCATGACATGCCTATTACACTGAACACACAGGTAAGCTGGATTTTCAACACTGAAGTGCAGATGATCAGTGGTTGTACCTTTAATGGGTTTAGTCACAATGCCCGTGATGCCGCTCACAAACCCCTGTGTGATATGAAGAAAAGTTCATATTTACAAACTGACATCCCACAAAAAACTAATAAAAAAAAAATACTCTACTGAATGCAAAATATAGATTGTAGACTTGTCGGATGACAATCAAACATTTTTATCAAATTAATTACATGATATGCTGATCAATTAACTGAATTTACCATAAGTAATCACATTATTAAGACATTAATGTGACAGAGGAGTAAAGCACTGAATATATATTACAAAAAGTGGCTTTAATATATATATATATATATTTTATTTTTTTTGGAGCATATAATTGCTCAAATGGTGGGAAAATAAATGTATGCATGATACATTTTTTTTTTCTTTTGTACAAGAAAATGTTAAAATAAAGAAAATCATAAAAAAAAAAAAAAAAACGTACTTAAAAATACTTATTTTTGTAGCCGCATGTTACAGTATGTGACCATTAACTGACACCAGAAAACCGTGAACAAGCGAGTGTGTTGTTAACTTACTGAAATCTCAACTAAGGAATACTTGTGTGACAATTCTGTCATCATTTACTCAAGATATTCTGAAGAATGTCGGTAATCAAACAAGTTTCGGTTCCCATTTACTTATGGGAACTTATGACTTACTTATGACTTCCAAATACAGTGGAAGTCAATGGGAACCGAAATGCTTCAGTTACCAAAATTCTTTAAAATATCTTCATTTATGATGCACAGGAAACAAAGCCATTCAGATTTGGAACAACACGAGGCTGAGTAAATGACAGAATTTTTTATTTCTGGATGAACTATCCCTTTAAAATATACTTAAAAAAATACTTTAGGTCAAAGGGGTTCAGCTGACAAAAAGGGAATTCTTGATTTGGGATATAGCTTTAAACGTTTCTGTCTGCTGTGTTTTGTAAACTCACAGAGACGAGTCCCTTCCCTCCTCGTGTCAGGCCTTCTCTCAGTCCGCTGGGCTGCTTGTTCATGGCCTCGCGTCTCTTCTGCTGATACTCCTCATCCATGGTCATGGCGGCTACACCTTTAGCCATCGCTCCCGTGATCCGAGACGCCGCTCCGGCCAGACCGCCTGAGACGACAAGAGATGGACGGCTCAGAATTTGAGTGGAACAAGATTGCTGTTTATAATTGATATAAGCCTTATGTGACAACTTTTGATTGGATTTTAAGAGGAGAGTTCATAACTGCATAGATCACTCACAACATTAGTGTATTACAGAATATAGCAAAAATAGAGTACGTACCCACAGCTCCTCCAACCAGAGCCTTCACACCGAGTGCCATGCCTTCGATAAACTCCTCTGGTCCCTGTATGGCACCCTGACAAACAAACATTCAGTGTTATTTTAATATCGCTGAGATACTATTACAGATTTTTCTGTACATTTGTGTTTGTAACTAATTTAATTTTGAAAACTGTCAGTTTAGAGGACCACAAATTTTGCATTTTATCAATCCTATCAAAAGAGCTGAAGTTTCACCTGATAAGGCTCATAAAAGAAGGCCTCGACACCTTCAGACAGACCGCGGATCAGTCCGAAAGGATTCCCGAGGACATCTAAACCCAAAACCAGAACATACATCTGCTTGATAGCCTGAAACAAACAACACACAAGCACAGACACAGGTGAAAAAAACAGGTAGTCATGATGTGTATGCATAAAACACACAGAAATCAGCAGTAGATGGGGAATGTTAAAGGTGAAAGGTCACCTGTTTGGAATAATGGCGGATGACCTCCGACTGCAGCTGCTGAGTGGTGCGGAACTGGTACGTCAGCTCACAAAACGCAAGTCTGGAGAAAGACAGGACGCAAATGTAAACATTTCTAAGAAAATAAGAGTTCTAGGTCATAAATATACAATTCACCATCAAATATGAGACCTTGTATGTATGCAGTGGCATACTACTCATAATAATATGTGCATACTGTACACGGTTTATAATTCTGTATGCATGGAATATCCACTAACTGAACCTACTACTTTTGCCAAAATATGCAGTACAGAATCAAACCACACTACACTTTGATCTTGCCTTTCTAATTTTACAAACATGCACTACCAACAAAAGATAACTGGATAGTACTTAAGGCTATATAACAATTTGACAAGCCATTTATTATTAAACTTCTACATCTTGCATTTCACATGCAAAAATTAAAACATATTAAGCAGCTCAGCATTATTATCATTAAAACTAAAACAAACTAAATTGACTAAAAGAAAAAAAAAAATAAAGCTGAAATAAAATATATGATATGAAAAACTGCCTTGGCAATTAAGTGAAGTTACTGAAAGCACTAAAATTACTAGGTGGAAATAAATAAAAACTATAACTAAAACAACAAAGTAATACTAAATAGAAATAAAATAAAAAACGAAATAGTAACATTTAAAAAAAAATCAAAATAAAAATGACAAAAGCACCAAAATTGCTAAAAACTAAAATGCAAACTGAAAATATATAAATAATTAATTCAAAATATAAAAAAGTATAATAGTAAATAAATAATACTTGCATACAATACACACATAATATGTGACCCTGGACCACAAAACCATTCATAAGGGTCAATTTTTCGAAATTGAATAAATGCTGAATAAATAAGCTTTCCATTGATGTGTTGTTTGTTAGGATAGGACAATATTTGGCTGAGATACAACTATTTGAAAATCTGGAATCTGAGGGTGCAAAAAAAATCAAAATATTGAGAAAATCACCTTTAAAGTTGTCCAAATGAAGTTCTTAGCAATGCATATTACTAATCAAAAATTACGTTTTGATATATTTACGGTAGGAAATGTACAAAATATCTTCATGGAACATGATCTTTACTTAATATCCTAATGATTTTTGGCATAAAAGAAAAATGGATCATTTTGACCCATACAATGTATTGTAGGCTATTGCTACAAATATATCCCAGCGACTTAAGACTGCTTTTGTGCTCCAGGGTCACACTTATATACATAACTTAATGCTTGTTTAATAATGAATCCTCATTGCATATGCATAGTTTTGCTCCCTTGACATGCATTTCTAGCTTGTTTTGGTCTTTCTACTAGAGTGCAGTGTGACAGCAGGAAAACGGAAGTGAAGAGTGTGTTTTGTGGAGTTGACAGCATCTAACCACATGTGAAATCCAGAAACACCCAAAGTGTGAAGTGAGGGTTTGGCAGGGCGGACTGGAATGAGGAACTACAGGGATTTCCTGCCGCAGTGAGAATGAGTGCTGAGTAGTGAGTGTAAGTACTTGAAGAGGACGTCCTGAGCGTCAGTGAGTGTAGCTCCAATACTCTTCAGCAGGAGGTTGAGAGACTGAACGGGAATGACCTCTGTCTCGCGCTCTTTCTTATTCCCGTCTTCACCACCGGTGCTCAGAGAGAAACTCAAGTGAAGCTGCCCCACAAAAACAGTTACACTCAATACTCAAAACGTGGTGATTTTAAAAAGAACATTTGTCTTCAGGAAGCAAAGTTTGGCATCCGTATTGAATGTCTATTTCTGTGTTCACTGTGTGGACTGTGGTCACAGTGAATTGGACAGAGGTTTCGGTAACTGACCTTTATGGGAGAGATGTGGAAGTATTCGTACAGGCTGATGGGGGACGTGTCTGTAGCTGAACTATGATTCAACTCGGTCTTCAGATACTCAATGTCCTTCTCAAACAACTCCACCTGCAATACACCACCACACACATCCAACAACAGATCAAATACACTACTGCGCAAAGGTTTGCGGTCTTTAAGAGTTTAAGTCTCTAATGCTCACCCAGGTGCATTTATTTGATCAAAAATACAGTAAAAACAGTAACATTGTGAAATATTATTTTCATTCAAAATAATTGTTTTCTATATGAATATATTTTCAAATGTAATTTATTCCTGTGATTGTAAAGCTGAATTTTCAGCATCATTACTCCAGTCTTCAGTGGCACATGATTCTTCAGAAATCATTCTGATATGCTGATTTGCTGCTCATCAATGTTGAAAACAGTTGTGTTTGTGGATAGATTTTCTGGTTACATTTTTTTTTTCAGGATTCTTTGATAAATAGAAAGTTCAAAAGAACTGCATTTATAAAAAATATTAACTAAAAAAATATATAAAAATATTAAATAAAAATAATACAAATACTTTGTAACATTATAAATCCGTTACTGTCACTTTTGATCAATTCAATGCATCCTTGCTGAATAAAAGTATTAGGAAACACTTTAGTTTGACGACCAGTTCTCACTAACTATTAACTACAACTTTAGCCTCAATAAACTCCTAATTTGCTGCTTATTATTAGTTAGTAAGGTATTTGTTCAGTTTAGGTATGGGGTAGAAATTAAGGGATCTAAAATATGGTCATGCAGAATAAGCCATTAATATGTGCTTTATAAGTACTAATAAACAGCCAATATGTTAGTAATATGCAAGCTAATAAGCAACTAGTTAATAGTGAGAATTCATACCTAAACTACAGTGTTACCAAGTATTCATTTCATAAAAAAAATCTTTCAGGGGCCGGTTGCATAAACTGTTTAGGCTAGTCTTAAAAGTTAGTCATCTAATTTTTTTTCTTCAAGACTGGTCATAGCTTTTTAAATTCAGTTATGAAAAGGTAGATTGGTCTTGTTAGTATCGGAAGAGTAAGACTGGTTACCCTTGGCAACTGCTAGTTGGTCAAACTAGTTCTTAAGACACAGTCTTAACATGGTGGCTAAGTTTATGCAACTGGCCCCAGATTTCAAATGTTGAATGGTAGTGTATGTAATATAAAATATAATCAAAAAGAGTGTGGCTGAAGTAGAGGTAAAAGTCTATTATAAATATATTGTTTAGTACTGAAAAGTATCAATAGTGTGTGGAGTTGCTGCTCAAACAGAAGAGTCAATCACCACCAAACAGGTGCCTATGTAGAGCTTTGTGCTGTAGAGTGTTACTGTACCTCCTGTTCAGACGTGACAGCACTGGCGTGCTCAGCAGTGAAGAGCTCAAGTATGGCATACAGGAACCCAAGATCTACCCGCAGGTCCATCTCCTGAATCTCAGCAGGAGCAGCAGGAGGTTGAGAGACTGAACGGGAATGACCTCTGTCTCGCGCTCTTTCTTATTCCCACCGGTGCTCCCGGTGCTCAGAGAGAAACTCAAGTGAAGCTGCCCCACAAAAACAGTTACACTCAATACTCAAAACGTGGTGATTTTAAAAAGAACATTTGTCTTCAGGAAGCAAAGTTTGGCATCAGTATTGAATGTCTATTTCTGTGTTCACTGTGTGGACTGTGGTCACAGTGAATTGGACAGAGGTTTCGGTAACTGACCTTTATGGGAGAGATGTGGAAGTATTCGTACAGGCTGATGGGGGACGTGTCTGTAGCTGAACTATGATTCAACTCGGTCTTCAGATACTCAATGTCCTTCTCAAACAACTCCACCTGCAATACACCACCACACACATCCAACAACAGATCAAATACACTACTGCGCAAAGGTTTGCGGTCTTTAAGAGTTTAAGTCTCTAATGCTCACCCAGGTGCATTTATTTGATCAAAAATACAGTAAAAACAGTAACATTGTGAAATATTATTTTCATTCAAAATAATTGTTTTCTATATGAATATATTTTCAAATGTAATTTATTCCTGTGATTGTAAAGCTGAATTTTCAGCATCATTACTCCAGTCTTCAGTGGCACATGATTCTTCAGAAATCATTCTGATATGCTGATTTGCTGCTCATCAATGTTGAAAACAGTTGTGTTTGTGGATAGATTTTCTGGTTACATTTTTTTTTTCAGGATTCTTTGATAAATAGAAAGTTCAAAAGAACTGCATTTATAAAAAATATTAACTAAAAAAATATATAAAAATATTAAATAAAAATAATACAAATACTTTGTAACATTATAAATCCGTTACTGTCACTTTTGATCAATTCAATGCATCCTTGCTGAATAAAAGTATTAGGAAACACTTTAGTTTGACGACCAGTTCTCACTAACTATTAACTACAACTTTAGCCTCAATAAACTCCTAATTTGCTGCTTATTATTAGTTAGTAAGGTATTTGTTCAGTTTAGGTATGGGGTAGAAATTAAGGGATCTAAAATATGGTCATGCAGAATAAGCCATTAATATGTGCTTTATAAGTACTAATAAACAGCCAATATGTTAGTAATATGCAAGCTAATAAGCAACTAGTTAATAGTGAGAATTCATACCTAAACTACAGTGTTACCAAGTATTCATTTCATAAAAAAAATCTTTCAGGGGCCGGTTGCATAAACTGTTTAGGCTAGTCTTAAAAGTTAGTCATCTAATTTTTTTTCTTCAAGACTGGTCATAGCTTTTTAAATTCAGTTATGAAAAGGTAGATTGGTCTTGTTAGTATCGGAAGAGTAAGACTGGTTACCCTTGGCAACTGCTAGTTGGTCAAACTAGTTCTTAAGACACAGTCTTAACATGGTGGCTAAGTTTATGCAACTGGCCCCAGATTTCAAATGTTGAATGGTAGTGTATGTAATATAAAATATAATCAAAAAGAGTGTGGCTGAAGTAGAGGTAAAAGTCTATTATAAATATATTGTTTAGTACTGAAAAGTATCAATAGTGTGTGGAGTTGCTGCTCAAACAGAAGAGTCAATCACCACCAAACAGGTGCCTATGTAGAGCTTTGTGCTGTAGAGTGTTACTGTACCTCCTGTTCAGACGTGACAGCACTGGCGTGCTCAGCAGTGAAGAGCTCAAGTATGGCATACAGGAACCCAAGATCTACCCGCAGGTCCATCTCCTGAATCAACACTTTAAAATACCTGTAAAGCAGAAATGAAGCATGTTTTGCAGTTTTGAGAGCAAGAGACTGATAGAAATTGTATGAGGAGGAAACTTACTTGATGCGCAGAATGTCGGAGTGTCCGGCTGCTCTGGTGATGATGCTGACGTCAGCGAGCGGTTTCGGCTCTTTAATACACAAATGCAATAAACTTTACCATAACAATACCAGATTGGTTAGACACAAAGAAACAGGCAGGAAATAAAATGAATAAATACATAAATGATTTTGCATTGGCCTTTGAGTGAATAGGCCTCAAGGCTGTGGATCGACTGACCTGAGTCCATGCTGACTGATTTGGGCGGTTTGATGGGGTAGAAGACGAATGGGAAGATGGCTCCAGGCAACTGATTTTGGATCTGAAGAGTAAACAGGGGAATTTCATGTTCACTGACCATGATAAATGTGTGAATTAGTGCGTCACAATTGTTGAATAGGCTCTGTGGTTGTTCTGATCGCATTTATAACTCATATTTTTATAATGCGTGTAAAACTGGATTGCTTTATTAGGAGTGAAACTGACCTGAATCCTGTTGATCTGGACTCTGTAGGTTTTCTGACGGGCGGAGACACTGTACTCCACCTTTAGTGCTGGCAGGAAGTTCCTCCTGAGCGGAGCATCAAAGGGCTGCATTATCCTCATGTCCACCCCATTAGCAGCAAACAACACCTGATGAACATTCGGTACAGCCAGAGATGGATTAAAACAAGAATGACCTTCTGACCTAGTTGCAGCCCAAGTTATTCAATAACTTTAATTTAATTTAAAGATAGGAAATAACACATGTATAAAAAAATTGTAAGCAAAATGTAACATGAACATGAACACGAAATAATCTGAACATGAATTAGCCTGAAAAAATCATTTGAACTTGATTAAATATAAATAAATGTACACTTTACATAGCAACTTCCTGATTCTCTAATCAATCATATAATATTTTCACAAACGCTTTTCTGAAATCTAAACTCTAATTCTAAATCCTGCTTCCAGCACTTATCAGCCAAACAAAAAAGCACCAAGAATTAAAACATGCCATATAGCAGGAAATACATTTCAGCCCTGGTGATATATTGGTTGACAACCAAAAAGGATCCAATCATAAACCTGGGTCATTTCCATGTAGAAGCCTTAAAGGTACAGTAGCAAAAACACCGTTTAATTCTGATGGTGACAACTGTTTTAAAACAAGGTGTCTTGCCTTTAAGCGCTGTGAATTGGTTCCTGTGAGCACTAACCTGGTAGTCGTTCTCTAGGTCAATGATGAGGCTGTCCACTGGCCCGCTCTCCATATAATCTCTGTAGCGCTGCTCCAACATCGTAGCCTCTTTAACACTTAAAACCTTCCATCGGCTTCGCTTCTTAGGCTTGGTTTCCCACACCACATCAGAACTGACCAACACAAATAAATTATATTAATTTGATCTATTTCGATAAGCAAAATATCTTCTGGGTTGATGTGGATGCTAATATAGTTATCATTATAGTCATTGTTGTTGTGAAAGGGCCTTAAATGTGCTTAAAGGGGACATCGGATGCCCATTTTCCACAGGCTGTAGAAAAAGTATGATTATGAAAAGGATGATTCTTTAGGGTCTTCATGAAATGTCTGTAACATACTTTGGTTCAAATTCCTCAATGGTCGTGTAAAACAACACATTTTTACCATGTCAAAGACAGCTCTGTTCACAGCGACCCGTTTTGGTGCATGTCTCTTTAAATGATAATGAGCTACTGCTCACCCCGCCCCTTTCTTCTGTCTTTTTGTGTATTTGTTGGCGCATTACCATCAAAAACAAAACGAACTGGCTGAGGGCGGAGATATGCTAATATGGGACAGTCCGTCAGCGGCCGTGGGCGGGGCC